TGTATGCTCATATGCATAACCCATGGCACAGACAATAGGGAGCTGAAGGTCTGGGGCGGGGTGGGGGGGTAGAGGGTGAGAGGGGTGGCCTTGAGGGGGTCAATGGGGGGGTGGGGAAAGGCGACATATGTAATACTTTCAAAAATCAAGAAATATATATATAAAAGGCTGAGTGTGATGGAGAGGTATGGAAAGCAGCAATCTACAATTAGTTGTAGAGAAAATGGATTGATAAGTGAGGCTATGGATTGAATAGAAGAGTGGAGAAGGCAAAGCTTTATTATCACAGGGAAAAAAGGTCAAATTTCCATAGTTATTCATTCATTCACTTAATCACTCACTGAATAAATATTAATTGTGTGCTATTATGGGCTGAGTTGTGTACCCCCAAAATTCACATATTGAAGTCCTAACCCCCAGTACCTGAGACTGTGACTATATTTAAAGAGATAATTAAGTTAAAATGAGGTCATAGGAGTAGACTCTAATCCAATATGACTGGTGTCCTTTTAAGAAGAGATTAGGACACAGATACACACAGAGGGAAGTCCATGTGAGGACACAGGGAGAAGGCAGCCTTCTATCAGCCAAGGAGCATGCCCTCCAGAGAAACCAAACCCAATGACACTGTGATCTTGGACTTCCAGCTTCCATGACAATGAGGAAATAAATTTCCTTTGCGTAAGCCACCCAGTCTGTGGTTATGTGTAGAATGACTTTGCTATGTTAGCCCTAGCAAACACACACACATGCCCACTATGTAGAAGGCAATAGTTTGAATGAAATGTAAACAGAACTGATAAAAACCCTTCTTCATAAGTTTCTATAGAAACAAGACTACTTGGGATTTCAAGTTCTTGTCCATTGGAAGAGAAATTTCTCATTAATGCCACTTGCCACCAGGCCAGAGCTGCAGCAAACACCTCCCAACCGGAAGCCTGGCTGTGGAGGGAGCAGAGGCTGATGAGAGGGATGGGGTCCAGCCTGCTCTTGGATGACATCACTACTCACCCTTACCACTGCACTCCCCAAAGTAACAGAAAGAAGAATAAGCAATAATAAGAAAGCAGAAACTATCAAGAAGTACCACTATAATTTGAACCTACCTGGACAATGTTTAAATGTATTTTTCAAGAACTGTGTCTAAAAGCCTCTAGCTAATCTTTTAATCACTCACAGATTGGTTTAAATATACCAGCAGTTCTCTCCGTGAAAACCCTGTATTCTACAACTTCCTTCATGTCAACACCAACAAGCAGTATGGCTTTAAAGTATGAGATGCATGCCTCACCATGGCAGCCTCCGTGTTTGTCTTCCATGTCAATCCACTTCACGGCTCTGAGGTTACCAGTCCATGATGCATTGGGCATGGAGCCAGGGACACCTGCAATGTTGACAAAGAAGAAAAGCATAAATGAGAACCAAGAGAGAAGGGTGTCAATTTCTTCAATTAGCCCTCCAAGTCATTTTCTTTAAATATATTATCTTTCACATCAGATTTTTCATCATTATGGTGTGAATAGTTGGTGGTTATGGGCTTGGCTTTGCCACCAGTAAAAAGAATCTATTGATTTTTTTTCATAGTGTGTGTGACCAAGCCTGAAAAGTTTGGTCACACACATAGAGTTTAAGAAATACTGTAGTGTAAAACCACAAGAAAAGGTTGGGGATTTTTTGGTCTCTTAATGGCCTTTAATTAAGTGTAGTTTCAATCCTAATGTTAATTTTTTTTTTTTTAAGGATTTTCCAGATGGCTTCTAAGAAGTACAAGCCCTGGAAACAGGCTGCTCAAGGTTCTTAGTGCTAATTAAGTGAGAGCAATTCCAGGGTCGCTCTTATATGACATTGCAATTTTAGGCATACAGAGAAAGACAGCTTGTTCATGACATGTTTAACTCATAAATCTTTTAACACACTATGCTTTTTATTTGTTAAAATACTTCTTGAGCATTTGATATTTGATGTGCTGGGAACTGGGGACAGAGAAATCATTCCTGATCACCCAATGAGGATAATGAATTGTCTATCCCAGTAGTAGGTTTTGAGCTTTGAGTTTTTCCTAGAAGATTGGTGTACACTGATCCACTCATCTTCTCTATCTCTTTCAGTTGTTCTTTGACCAAATGCTGTTGCTGACCTATTTTCTAGTTAGAAATTAGCTAATGCACCATTGAAACGTAAAGAATTCGCCTTAAAAGGGGAGAGGGGAGTTTTAGGTTGTCATCTTGCTAAGCCAAGGTTTCTCTAACTTGGCATCATTGACTGACACTCTGGGCTGGATAATGCTTGGCTATAGGTCCCGTCCTGTGCAGTGTATGATGTTCAGCAGCACCCCTGGCCTCTACCCACTAGAAGCCAGTAATACATACCCCCCAACTGTGATAATCAAGAATGTCTTCAGACATTGCCGAATATCCCTGGGGGAGCAAGACTGCCCTGTTTGAGAAACACTGTGCCAAGCTACTCAAATAACCCTCTTCATCTCAATAAATTTTGGAGAGGTCCCAGAGATGAAGGGTCCATTTAATCACATAGAGTAGTTATACCCCAAGATTTCCATTACTGGAAAAGGAGTATATGGGAATCAATGTAAATGCAACTAGCTGAGGAATATTTCACTTCATAAGAACTGCAGCAATTTTCACCAGTGAGAAATTCAACCTGAGCACCATTTTGATGTAATGGCACTAAGCAAATGTTATCTGTATTCAAATTGCAATAGTCCTTTCTTACAAGACCTTAAATATTGATAAGATATACTGTGGTAGGCAGAATAATGCCCCCCAAGCATATACTCAAGGAAGTCCGTATCCTAATCCCTGGACTTTGAGAATATGTTATGTTTTATGGCAAATGGGAATTAAGGCTGCTAATCAGCTGACCTTAAACTGGGAAATAGGGAGAGTATCCTGAAGTATCCAGGTGGGCCCCATGTAATTACAAGGGTCTTTTAACAATGAAAGTGGGAGGCAGAGTGTTGATTGGCCTGGTGTGATGTGAGGACGCCGCCAAGTCTTTGCCATTTGAAGTGGAGGAAGGGGCGAAGGATGCAGGTGGTCTCTAGAAGCTGGAAGGCAGGTAACAGATGCTGCCCAGCCCCCACTGAGAGAAACAGCCCAACCATGCCTTGATTTTAGCCTGGTGAGACCCATGTCAGACTTCTGACCTGCAGAACTGTAAGACCATACATCTGTGTCCATTAAGCTGCTAAACTTGTGGTAATTGTTAGGGTGGCAAATGGAAAACTAAGTACATACTAATGAGAAAAAGTTACCCAAGACGATGAATTTTTAAAAATATATTTGTATTGATTTCAGAGAGGAAGGGAGAGAGAGATAGATACATCAATGATGAGAGGGAATAATTGATCAGCTGCCTCCTGCAAGCCCCACACTGGGGGCCGAGCTAGCAACCCAGGCATGTGCCCTGACCGGGAATCGAACCACAAACCATGACCTCCTGGTTCATAGGTCGACGCTCAACCACTGAGCCACACTGGCTGGGCAGAATATTTTTTTAAAAAGGAGAAAAATAGACACAACTAATACTAATACTTTTCAAGAAGTGTAATTGGATAGGCACATAAAAATATTTCCTCTTTAATAACATTAACAAAAACATGTGCTTTTTCAGAACAAAAAAAGCTCTGTTCTTTTGCCCTGATGTCACATAATAATTATATGATGATCTAAATCAAGAATTGTACCAAGGTTTCCTAACTAAAATTAAATTTGGCATGGCTTTCCTATATATAGCATGAGTCTTTAGGGGTACACCTCAAGAATCTTCCTTTCTTGCTGCCAAACTTGAAAACTCTGCTTATACGTGTTGAATATTCAAGAAAAATGCTATTTATTAAGTGATATTTCTTCCTACTGCTTTGTCATTAACCTGCTCTGTACTCTTGTGCATCATTTAATGTCACTCAGACTCACCTTTCAAATGAAGTAGGTAGATTAGATCAGGGTTTTTCAACCTTTTAGACTGCAAACCACAGAGAATTTTACTCCATCACTCCATCACTTACACACACACACACACACACACACACAGTGCAAACCTAAGTTTCACAAATAACTCTTAGGCTTATTACAAGCATTGCAGTTGCTAATTTTACATTATTTTCTGGTCTATTCTCATGTTAAAAACTCTAGTCAAAACCTACTAACGTGATTGCTGGATCCACTAATGAGATACAACTACTATTTAAAAAATACTGGACTAGATGATTGTATTTTTGTTGTTGCTGTTATTATTATTGACTATCAGGCTTCTAGGAGGATAGTTATGGGGTATATGGGTAATAGTCTACCCTCAATTCACAGGAAAGATCTATTTTTCATTCTTTCTGGGATGCGGCAAAAAGAAGACACCAATATTATCAGAGAAAACATTTCAAATTATTAAACCAAATTCTCTCATTTGCTCTTCATAGGCTTATTTAAACAAAAAATTTGAAATAAAGTTTACAGAGTAACCAGCAATGTTTTTCTTGGGACTAAGCCTTTATTAGTCAAATAACTGCACTTGTTGAATAAATGAAGATGATTCTTTGAAATACAAGCTTTATTTACATTGGCTTGACTTTCTTCTTATTGTTCTCACACAGTGTGCCCCTCATTTGAGGAGACAAATTTCAGCTATTTAAGGTCAGATATATACTTTCTAACTTATTAAATAAACAAAGAATTTTGTTTTTAAATGTCAAAAGTCAATGCTGATGTCAGTTTACTGAAAGGATTTTCTCACGTTTAATGGTGGTGCTGTAAATTGGTACAACTCTGGAAAATCAATTTGAAAATAGTGTAGGAAAGATCAGCATAATTGCCAATTTCCTTTGGCCCTTTAAAACAATAGTTTCAAAGTAAGCTAGGAAATAATTCTTAAAGTGTAAAAATCTGTATATGACCATATTCATTATGACATCATTTACACATACTCACTAGTAGGCATTTTAAATCCCCATCTGCTCTTACTGTGACCTTGAACAGTCATGTAATTTCTTTGAAACATCATCTACTAACCTTCAAAACCTCACAGGATTTTGTTAGTGTTAAATAAGATAATGTATGTGTTGTGCTTAGCATAGAGCCTGGCATACAGACTACTCAATAAATGGTTGAAAACATAATTCTTTTATTAAAATCACGGGGACATGTTGCTATAGAAGACAGCTTTTTTTACTATAATCTAAAGCAGGTTTCTCAACCTCGACATTATTGACATCTGGGCTGGATAATTTTTTGCAGATGATTTCTTTGCTGTGGGGTTGCCCTGTTTAGTGGCAGCATCCTGGGTCTTTACCCATTAGATGCCAGTATCAGTCCCTCCCTTCCCCCATCTCATCCCCAGTTGTGACCATCAAAAATGTTTCCAGATGTTGCCAGATGTGCCTGGGGGTGGGGGTGGGGGCAAAATCAGCCCTGGTTGACAACATGAAATCTTAATTATTAATAAAACCATGTATAAACATTTGCATGTGAAATGAAAAATATTTTAAATTTATAAAAGTTTCTTCAATGTTATTGTATTGCTTTTTTATTTTTAAACATTTTTATATACATCTGAGTCTTAATTGCTTCACTGATTTAGTAACTGTGCTTGTAAATATTCTAAGAATAATTCAACACAATGTTCATTGTTAATTGGCTTTCACAATAAAAAATGGAAAATTAGCTAATAACAGAAAGGCAGTGTTAAGTAACATAGCCTCTTTTTCTCATTGTTAACTGGGGTAATTTTTAAACATAAGAAGAGCCCTGGCTGGTGTGGCTCAGTTGGTTGGAGTGTCATCCCATGTGCCAAAGGTTGCAGGTTCGATTTCCGGTCAGGGCACATACCCAGGTTTTGGGTTTGATCCTGGGTTGGGGCACATACGGGAGGCAGCTGATAGATGTTTCTCTCTCACAATGATGTTTCCCTCTCTCTCCCTTTCTCTGTCTAAAATCAATTTTAAAAAAAGTTAATTTTAAAAATAAAAAGATACAGTATTGTTTTCACCTACCAATGGTTCATGAATCACATGGGGTTATTAACACATGAAGCATGAGATGGTGTGTTTATTTAATGTGGGTATTTTCTAGAGGTCTGCAGTCCCTGAGATAATAAATGGCATAACATCCTTAAAATAACAGCTCTTCATTCACCGTGATAACTGCCCACAAATGTTGTAAAAGGAAAAGAAGGAACAGGGGAAGGAAGGAAAATCCAGAGTTTTCAACTCAAAGGGATTTTAGAAATTTTAATATGTTTTAATATTTTAATCTTTTCCCCTTAATGCTAAGCTGTGTGAACTAGAGCTTAGGAAATATAAATGAATTGCTCAGGAGTGTGGACCTGCTAAATAACTTCTTAGTTTTGTTTCAAGATAATTTGCTCACTTAT